CCCCAAAAAAAAAAAAAAAACAAACCTATTCTAAAGATTAAGGCCCCCTGCAGTATGCGGACGATGTAATGTATTGGGCCTTAGTAACCCTAAACCCTAAACCCTAAACCCTGAACCCTAAACCCAAAACCCTAAACCGTGAGTTAGTACTCGAATCTGCTTCAGGTCGAACCTGGGGGATCCTCGGCTTGATGAAGTTACGCCGAAGATGGCCGAAACCGGAGACGCGCCTATGGGAGTGGGAGCCCCCTACTAAACCCTAAACCCTAAATTCCCTGAAGTTCCATGAAAGCCCTAAACCTCCAGACTCCGAAGTCCAAAACCGGCGACTGTGACACCGAAGACGCAGGAAGCCCGCGGAGCTGTAAGCAGTACCCCAAGGGTCCAAAGGACCCCATAATCAGGTACTTAGGTTAGGGGTTTAGGGTTTAGGGTTTAGGGTTTAGGGGTTAGTAACCCCAAGGGTCCAAAGGACCCAATAATCAGGTACTTAGGTTTCGGATAGTAGTTATGTAGGTTCCTATTTGGGAGAGTATATGATTATTAGGTACTTAGGTTTCGGATAGTAGTTATGTAGGTGGACAGTATATGATTATTAGGTACTTGGACCCTTGGGGTTAGGTACTCCGAACACATGCAGCCGCCATGGGCTTCTGCTGCTTCCTTGAAACAGGAATATCTCCCCTGTCAGGGGGGTTTAACTGAAATCTGAAAGAGGCGATTGAAGGACTAGCGGGTTTAGGGCTTAGGGGTTTAGGGGGTTTAGGCGTTTAGGGGTTTTAGGGGGTTTAGGGGTTAGGGCTTTGGGGGTTTAGGGGCTTAGGGCTTTAGGAGATTTAGGGTTGGCAAATGATCAAAGAGCCTTTGGGGCATGCCCTCCTGGATAGGTCGGCAGCACCAGCAAGCACAGCTCCAAGAACAGTTCGCAGCGAGGCGTCCCTAGACCCCAAATCCCTAAAACCCTAAACCCTAAACCCTAAAACCCTAAACCCTAAACCCTAAACCCCAAAACCCTAAAAGCCCCAGGGCTTCGACGGCCTTCGCCAGCCGCTCCTCCGCCGGGAAGTCGTTCTCTAAGGTTGAACCCATGGGCCCCTAGTATGGGCCCGTAACCCTGGGATCCTTATACACCTACTATATATACCCTACATGTACCCTTCAGGGTCCCTATGTGTACCCTTAAAGGTCCATATTAGGGGCCCATACTTCTAACCTTGGACGTTCACGGGCAACGGTGTTTCCTAGGCATCCTCTGCATCCGTGGCCGCCGCAGAATCCACTAGATCCCCAGAGCCCCGGCGGCAGGTCGACAGTGGGTGGCTTCTCCAGTACTTTGCTGCTCAAAGGGTTTAGGGTTTAAGGTTTAAGGTTTAGGGTTTCAACTTTCTTGCAGCGTGATGAGGTGACACGACCGGACTCCGTTGTGGTCGCCCTCCACTCCACTCCTCCCCCAAGACATGCAAGTCACCAGACGAGCCGTTCAACCCCTATAAACCCTAAACCCTTCAGTCCCTGTAAGGTGCATAAACCGATACTATACTCGACATCTTAAACCTGAAACCCCAAACCCCAAATCTCGATACCCTTTAGCCCTTTTTGTTAAGATGATCTATTCAATAAAGTAATCACCAAACCCTATTCTAATCATTGAGGACACTACATGTACGTTAAGACCCTCTCAACCCTAAACCTAAAACCCGAAACCGATCCACGCGGGCACCGGACGTTCACGAGCCAGTAGACGGACAGGAGCGCGCCGTAGGTCTGTCAGGGCCCGGAGAGCTCGATTTAGGGCTTAGGATTTAGGGCTCAGGAGTTTAGGATTTAGGGTTCAGAGTTTAGGATTTAGGGTTTAGGGCTCAGGGGGGCTACTGTTTTGAGCTCTAGGGTTTTCTTTGGTTGAAGAGGTTGTGGGCTTTTAAGAGGTTCTGGGCATTTGGTGGTAGAGCTTTAGATTTCAGGGCTTTGGGGCTTGTCGGTCTGCCATTTAGAGCTGTAGAGTTTCTGGGTTTATCCCTAAACCCTAAACCCTAAACCCTAAACCCTAAACCCTAAGCCCCTACTATAGGGTTTAGGGTTTACGGGTGTTGGATACCCATGGGATCCCATACACACTGGCCATGCTGGAGGCAACAAGGCGCAGCCATGAGCAACTGTGGCTTTCGGAGAGTATTCCGTTCTGGTGGCAGGTATATGGGTTTAGGGTTTAGGGTTTAGGGTTTAGGGTTTAGGGTTTAGTGTTTTCTAAATTAGGGTCCCTTATTGGGTCCATATTGTGGGTGCCGTACTATATTGGGGACCCAAAACGAGACCCTAATTTAGAGAACTACCCATATGGGCCCTAAGGCCATTAGCCAGGAGTATAGCTTCAGCTCTACCCGAAAATCCCTAAACCCTAAACCCTAAACCCTAAACCCTAAACCGGATCCCTGTTTCAATTTCATGCATGTTGCTGGAATTAAAGACCTTCGACGCTCCTTGGTGGGGAACCCATGGGTCCTGACATCTGCTTCAGGATTGTTTTAGGGCTTAGGGTTTACGGTTTAGAGTTTAGGGTTTAGGGTTTCGGGTTTAAAGTTTAGGGTTTAGGGTTGTTTGTGTTGGACCTTGGGTTTAGGGGTTTGTGGTTGTATGCTTTTCTGGGCTGTGTGAGTGTGTGTTGAAGAGGTGACGGGGGTTGGCGTTGGCACGTTCGGGTTTGGGTTTTTCAGGGCTCGGGTTTGGTTGGTTGTTCTAGGGCCACATATATATATATATATATATATATATACATATTCATGATCACCAGACTCAGACAGCTGCAGCCTTGGTGGGTGTATTTGGGCTTTAAACTTACTAAACTCTAAATCCTGAACCCTAGAAATCATCTTAAAAAAGCCTGAAAGGCCCTAAAAACCCTAAACCCCAAAAGGCCCTAAACACCCTGAAACCCTCAAGTCTAAAAGGCTCTACAACCCAAGCCCTAAAAGCCAGACACACCCTAAACCCCCCTAAAAGCCCTGAACCCAAACCCTAAACCCTAAACCCTAAACCCTAAACCTTAAACCCTAAACCCTAAACCCTAAACCCTAAAAGCCCTGAACCCAAGACCGCAGGCCTGCTGCAGCTGCCTCTGATGGGCGGGCCCGAAGTACGCGAGCTCGGGGAAATGGCGAGCCAGCGTGGTCTGCACATGGGCGGTTGTTAGAATTATGGTCCCTTTTGGGGTCCTTATTATAATACGGCACCTATTATTTAGGATACCCCAAAAAGGACCATAGTTTTGACAACTACCCACGTGCGGGGAGACTTGAAGGGCTTGTAGGGTTAGGGGTTTAGGGGTTATTGAGGATCTAGGCGTTTGGGGGGTTAGGGTTTAGGGCTTTAAAGGTTTATAGGGTCTAGGGTTTAGGGCTCAGGAGTTTTGAGGATCTAGGGTTTGGGGTTTAGGAATGTTTGGGGTTCAGGCTACATGGAAGACTGGAAGATCTTTGCGGTTTTGAGGATTCAAGATCCTGGGGCTTCAGGGCTGAAGTGTTTAGGGTTAACCCATATAGGGTTTAGGGTTTAGGGTTTAGGGTTTAGGGTTTAGGGTTTAGGGCCTCATAGTAGTTCATATTTAGAATCCTACAAGGTAATCCCAAGAAGGAACTACTATGGGGCCTATGGGCGGGGTAGTTGTGGTAGTAGCAGGGGTAGTCGTCTTGGCAGCAGCTGTTAGAGTTGAATCCTGAACTCTAAACTGTGTGGGTCCAAAAGTGATGATCCTGCATACGTTCTGGAGCCTATGCAGGCTGGCAGATGCAGGGATGTTGAACCTTATACTCGAAAGCTTAAGCCAGTAAACCCTACCAACAGACCTGAAGCCCGAAACCGAAAGCCCAGCACGTGTCGCAACTGATCCTGTGCCGCACTGTTGTCGCCACCATAGTCCGCACCGCCCCAGGTGACCACTGATCCATCATCCAGGATTGCGGCAAATGCGTTAATCGAAGCTTGGATCTGCTGAACATCTCGCAGCTGATCCTGTACTGAGCTGCTGTCGCCACCAGAGTCGGCACTACCCCAGGTGACCACGGATCCATCACCCAGGATTGCAGCAAAGGCATGTTTAGAAGCTTGGATCTGCTGCACATCTCGCAGCTGATCCTGTACCGCACTGCTGTTGCCACCACGGTCGGGGTGACCCCAAGTGACCACAGATCTGTCACCCAGGAGTGCGGCGAATGCGAAAGGCGAAGCTTGGATCTGCTGCACATCTCGAAGTTGATGATGTACTGCACTGCTGTCGCCACCCTTGGCGGCATTGCCCCAGGTGACCACGGATCCATCAGCCAGGATGGCAGCAAAGGCACCAAAAGAAGCTTGGATCTGCTGCACAGTTTTCAGCTGCTCCTGTACGGCACTGCTGTCTCCACCCCAGTCAGCATTCCCCCAGGTGACCACAGATCCGTCAACCAAGATTGCAGCAAATGCGGAAGGAGACGCTTGAATCTGTTTTACATTCCTCAGCTGCGCCTGTACAGCGCTGCTGTCTCCACCATACTGAGCAATGCCCCAGGTGACTACAGATCCATCACCTAAGATTGCAGCAAATGCGGAAAAAGAAGCTTGGATCTGCTGCACATTCTTCAGCTGCTCCTGTACCGCACTGCTGTCTCCGCCCCGGTCGGCATGCCCCCAGGTGACTACGGATCCATCATTCAGAATTGCAGAAAATGCATCCTCACAAGCTTGGATCTGCTGCACATTCTTCAGCTGCTCCTGTACGGCACTTCTGTCTCCACCCCGGTCGGCCTTCCCCCAGGTGACTACGGATCCATCACTCCGAATTGCAGCAAATGCAAGACCAGAAGCTTTGATCTTCTGCACATTCTTCAGCTGATCCTGCACCGCACCGCTGTCACTACCCGCGTCGGCATTGCCCCAGGTGACCACGGATCCATCACCCAGGATTGCAGCGAATGCACCAAATGAAGCTTGGATCTGCTGCACATCTCGCAGCTGGTCCTGTACCGCACTGCAGTCACCACCATTATGGGAACCCCAGGTGACCACAGATCCATCACCCATGAGTGCGGCGAACGCAGCGGGCACACCACTTTGCCCTGGGCGATGCCCGGTGGCTAGAAGCTGGACTTGGTTCACATGTAGGGTGAGCACATCTCCACTCATCAACTTCGCTTCTGAGATAGTTTTTGCACCGTCCAGCAGCTCGCCAGAAGACTTCCGCAGCTGCCCTCTGGGCTTGACCATCAGAGCGTTTTGGGCACGGCACTTCAATGACTCAACAGATGCATTCGCCTCCACTTCGAAAGAAGCACATTTGCCACTCAGTAGATGCACATCCACAGAAATCGACATGATACTTCCTGGGGTGGCAAAGGGTGGTCGCTTGACGCAAGACCTCAGACTACAGCTTACTCCTGGCCAAGAACGGGCGGTTACCCCAAACCCTAAACCCGAAAGCCCTGAACTCTTCAGCCCCAAACTCATTCCAACCGCATTCGTAACACCGCTCAAGAATTGTAGGATGCCGATGTACTGATGGTGGCGTAAGATACTATACCCGTCCTTAGCACTCCTGTTGCGATGCCTCACACAAAGCGTGCGGAAGAAAGCCCAAGATTTGAGCCAAGCGGAGCACAATCCATCCATGAAGATCTGAACGGGAATCTTTTGTTCATGTAGGATTAGGGTTTAGGGTTTAGGGCTTAGGGCGTTTAGCTTCGAGGGCTTGTAAGCCCTACACCAAAACCTAAACCCTGATCCCTTGTATAATATAGGGCTCGTATAAGTGGGAGCTCTCACAACTGCCCTAAACCCTAAACCCTAAATCCCCAAGCCTAAACCCAAAACCCTAAATCCTACACCCTAAACCCTACATCCTAAATCCTAAATCCTAAGTCCTACACCCTAAATCCCAAAGCCTAAGCCCTAAATCCCAAACCCTAAACCCTACATCCTGAAGCGTAAACCCTAAACCCTAAGTCCCAAACCCGAAACCCTACACCCTAAACCCTAAACCCTAAACCCTAAATCCCAAACCCTATAAACCCTACACCGTAAATCCCAAAGCCTAAACCCTGGGCCTTGAATCTTCGCTCGCCAATCGATGGGAACCCAAGCACAGACCCGGCGAGATGTCGACCTGGGTGTCACGGTTTAAGGTTTAGGGTTTA